TTGGCGGAAGTGACGAACTGCAAGCTTTGAATGCTTATATCTTCTAAATGCGAATTTTGTCACTGTTTTGGAGCACACTGCCTTATAGATAACCTTAAGACTAACATATTGATACTAACACCCAAAAAAAATTAATTTTGATTTAATGGGGACTTGAATGTTATCAATCAACTGGAGAAAGATGGTGATATCAATTAGAATTTAGAGTTTTGCCTTAACATGAAAGAATGTTTGACAGAAAATGCGGTAACACTTTACAATAAGGTTCCATTAGTTAATGCTAGTTAATTAACACGAACAAACAATGAACAATACATTTATTACAGTATTTATTCATCTTTTTTAATGTTAGTTAATTAAAATACAGTTGTTCACTGTTAGTTCATGTTAATTCACAGTGCATTAACTAATGTTAACAAGCACAACTTTTGATTTTAATAATGCATTAGTAAATGTTGAAATTAACATTTACTAAGATTAATAAATGCTGCAGAAGTGTTGTTCATGCTTAGTTCATGTTACCTAAAGTTGTTAACTAATGAACCTTATTGTAAAGCGTCACCGAAAATGCTATACTGCATTTTGCATGTTCAAACGAGGCATGCATCTGTCATTTATCTGCATGTGTTTTTAGATCTATTCCCCAAAGTAATGCACCAACGATCAACATACACGCTGGACACTTGTGAAGGTTAATGCTGATGGACTGGTAAAGATGAACAGGGTTTATCAGTTTAGTCTGAAGACATCATTAGGTAGCGAGGCGAGTGTGAGCGTCTCATGGGCTCTGTGACCGTGGGTCATAAATTTGATTATAATGATTTTGTAGTTCCATTCAAACAATAACTCTCCAGCACACGCTTTTATTTGACCGCTGATTTATGCCTTTAATACTTTGATGGCAAAAATTGTTTAACTCCACTCCGTAATGATGCGGGAAATGAAATATCGGCACAATTCATTTTCCAGATTTAATTAGTTTATTTCATAACGCTGTCCATCAGCATTGTGGAGATATATACGAGGAATATATGGCGGAGCAGAACGCATTGAGAGGAATATGTTTTACAGTTTGTTTCCTGTGAAATAAATGTTTGAATTATTCATGAGCCCTTCGTAACATGAATCATATTCTTAGGCTTGTTATTAAAGACCACACATTTTAGCCCAAGCCTCAAACCTTCAATTGAAATCTCAGATATCATATTTAAAAAAAATTGAATAGATAATTGTCTAAATGACCTTTCATTTAAAACAGCAATTTACTTTGATTAATGCCATTCATTTATCTGTTATGAAGGCTTATGTAAAGATAAATTAATTACTGCAATCATGCCAACAGAACTAATTTTGTTCCCAAAATCACAATCATACAAATCCACAGCATTTGTGAAATTATACTTTAGACTTAAAACCTTTTTAATATTTTTGTAACCAGGGTTATCATACTTATTTAGAACTAAAACCAAAAACCTTTTTTTTTTTACTTGAAATAAAATAACCGTTAACAAAATAAAATAAAATAAAAAAATAAAATAAAATAAAATGAAATGAAATGAAATGAAATGAAATGAAATCAAATAAAATTAAATCAGCTAGACACCAAGGCAAAATTTCTAATTTACATTACATTACAACTATATAGACATATTTAAAAAACATAAAAAAAATGATAAATGACAAAAACACAGCAAAATTACTAAAACTTTAGCTAAAATTAAAAATGAACACAAAATATACAAATAAAAACTTTAATGATAAAATATTAATAAAAACTATAACAGTATCAATGATACTAAAATAACCCTGGTTGTAACACCCTAAACCATTTTGTAAGTTGGTTTAATAGATTTTGTAAAGTAAATGCAGATACAAGTTGTAACAATACTGAACATGACTAAACCAACACTACACTTCTGGGACTAAACAGCTCAACGATGTTAACACACATTATAACAGTGAAGCATAAACCTTTATGTGCACAAAGCAATGTTAATGCTGCAATTAGATCATTCGGGCAAATGAAGCACCAATGTGAGCGGTTCATCAAACAGCCAGCTGATCTTGGCCGCTCTCATCAGCACAAATTCAGCGCAGATGGAGAGAAGCGAGTTATGACGAGGGTTTTACGTAACACGTGAATCTTACCCAAAAGCCTGTCATATGGAGCGGTGGATGAGAAACGGATGAGAACAGAGAACTGATTCACACAGACAGAATTAATTTATTACTTTATTTGAATATTTTCTTGTACTGGTGATGTTTTATTTATTCACATTATTTATTCATGCTATTTTTATTTGACTTGCAAATGCTTTGACAATACAAATGTACAATAAAACTAATAAAGCACAGTGAGCTGAAAATGAATTGAGAGAGTCTGACTTTGTTGAATGACGTCAAAACAGCAAATAAATAAATAATAAATAAAAAAATAACAAAGCATTTCAGCAACAGAAAAATATATATCCTCAAAGAATATCAATTTAATTTTTCTATTTTATATTACACAAAAAGTATCTAGAACATTATATAATGTTTATTGTAATACTTCATTATATTTAGTTTTAACATATATTTCATTTAAAAAATAAAAGTCCAGTATTTTGTAGTAGGGTATTTTTAATTGTAAATGTTATTTAATATATGAATTTATAATAATAAT